CGTCGATCGACCCATCCCCGTTAACACCACTTGCCACAAGTTAAAACCCCGATTGACCCTCCCAACCGACCGTCCTAATCCCAAATTCAGCAGTACTTTGTCTTGTTTGACCGGAGCAACAAAGCCATTGTTCAACTTAACCACTCATACGATCCCATCACTACCCGTTCGGATAGACCGGACAACCTACGTACCTATCCCACTTGAAGTTCACCTATGCCCTTGATCTAACCTTATTCGATCAATCAGACTAATCGAGCCCCTGTTCAACTTAATAACTCACACGATCCCCTCACTACCCGGTCGGATGGACCGGACGACCTACCTATCCCACTTGAAGTTCACTTAAGCCCCTGACCCAACCTTATTCGGTCAGTCAGACCGATCGAGCCCCTGTTCAACTTAACCACTCACACGATACCCTCCTTACTCGGTCAGATGGACCAGACGACCAATTTAGGCCACTTGTAGCCTGCTTATAACTCTATCTCAGCCTGTCACTCGATTCAGTCAGGCAGACCGACCGAGCCAGAATACTACGTAATTTGGTGTCTCTTCTGTCCCGTCCAAAAAACTCGAAAAACACCAAAAGTTGGGCAACTCGTCGGAAATCCATTAGAAATCCCAAATTTATGCCTATTCTAAAAATCTGTATTCTAAACACTTCAAAACCCAATCGAAACTACTCGAAACTTCAAAAACTTCATCCTATCTTCCAAAAACTCAGCAAACAACCAAAAATCAGCCCAAAGAAAATAGTATTTACCATAAAACGATCTCGAAAGACTGCAGAAAAAGAAACCTCCGCTGCTCAAAGAAACTGAAACAAAAAGAAGAAAAGCAGAAGAAATTTTTTTTTTGTTGTAGAAAAATGGAGGAAAAATGCAAATGGGAGACGAACAGTCCGCTTCCTAGTTTTTATAAGAGAAATCTGAGGAAGCAGACACATGGCAGCCCACGATTGGCCAACGGTTAGAGCGACTCTTCGTTTTCCTGCCTCCAAAATGATGGGCTGATCGCCACCGTACACGTGGCAGGCATCCATAGCACCTAGGAAATTGCAGCACCATACGGAAGCCATGTTCAACATCTCTGCCTTCCCGATCGACTCAGCACGCGACTGTCAGAGTGAACCCAACAAGCTCCCTTATTTCACTGGTCAGGGATATTTTCCTGACCGGTCGGATGGCTAAGAGAGATCTGGCTCATGTTCACACTCAAGACGATCAAGCCAAGAGGCCTCGCCCATTCGGTTTTCCGTAGCGGACAAGTAGGCAAAGTTTGCTCATTTTGTTGTCCATCAGGCATCCAGTAAAGAGCCCCGTGGTAACAAAAGCACACGTCATACGGTCCAGCAAGCCGGCCAAGTCCATTTCATCCATTCGATCACCTGAGTACCCCGACCGAACGAACCTTCAATTTAAGGTCGCCTCTAACTCACTTGCCTCGGCATACCGAGCTGATGCCTCTATCATGGGATGCTAGCCCATTTCTCCAATCGGTAAGACACATCGAACGAGCACATGAGCCCCAGAAGTCTCGTTCGAAGTCTCTTCGGCCCTTCACACCGATCGAGCACACCCTGTTGGGATGACTGCATATTCTAGATCGGTAGTGGATACCGAGTGACCCTTGACTACGAATCACCTGCATCAAGTTGGTCAGCTGCACTGGCAATTGGTCGCCCGGGTAGGGCAACCGAATACATCTCTTTCGCTTCCTACTCTTTGACTTAAGAAAACCTTAACTTAGAGAGTGGAGAGCAAACTGTTAGGGTCAAAAATCATCCCCGACCCAAATGGGAGAACGAGTCTAACAATGAGGAAAAGACCAGGCCCAATCCTGATGCGGCCCAATCCAAAACTCATTAGATTAGGCCCATTTGATACGAAGTACAGTCGGCCCAAACCGTACGGACACAAGCCTCCTAGCTAGTTCACTTCCTGGATCTATGAACAAATCCAAAGCCCATGGTCATCTAAAAATCACATTCCTATTTGAGCACAGGTAAAGTAGCCCACTACAACCCCAACTCCTCCAAGGTCCATGTCAGAGTCATACCTGGACTCTTCTTCACGCCAGGATAATGGGATCAGAGGATTTATGCCGAGAGGGAACATATTACTATGAGAACTCCCAATTACTATTTAAACAGAGGCCAGCCCTCTCACAAGGTAGATTACACTACACCTATAGACCTCGGAGTTCTAGCTTGAGAACTTCGTATCACAACCGTAGTCACAGTCCCCAACTAGACTTCTGGTAACCTCTCTACTCCCTAGCCCTCACTAAATCAGCCTTTCAGCCTTGCTGACTTGAGCGTCGGAGTGCCTATGGCAAACACCACCCCAGTGTTTTCCGTCGCTTCACATGTGTTTCTTTACGTATGCAGGTACAGTAGATCGCTAGTGGCCTCAACCTCACGGGATCAGTCCCCCCTTCCGTACAGGTAGATTTTTACGTCTACAATAACTCTTTGTTATTTTTAATAACTCTATGCTTCAAATGGTATTATTTCATGAAAAACAAAAACGATATAACAATCCTTTTATAACTAGAATTATCTTGAATTCATATCAATATATTTCCGTCTTATAAGGTATTTGACATAACAACGAATTTATTTGATATCTTATAACTAGAATTTCTTTTATTCTCATTACTAGTTACTCGTACTCTCTTTTAGTTCGAGGAAAAAACTTTTAGTGATTTTATTGATAGTTATGAGAGTTAACGACATTTTCCCACCCGAAATATGGCTTAATGATACTTTTTCACCCTTACACTTTTAAAATACCAATTTACTACCCAAAGCACAAATCCGTTAGTAACTAATATTGTAAATAAGGGCAAGATGATAAAAAAAAAAAAAAAAACAGTTATAAGTGAGGACGGAATCGTGACAACAACTTAAAAAGTTAATTTCATCTTTCAATTTTTAATAGAATACACTAAAGTTAATTTTTTCCCCCGTCACATTATTCTTTTTTGGTTCATTCTCTTCTTCCTTTCTTTCACTTCTTCTCTCTCTTCTGAACCTTCATTTCTTTCCTATCAAGTGTCAACTCCTCCCTTTCTCCGCCTCTTTCCTGTCTTTCTTCTCTTCTTATTCTTATTCTTCTTTCTTTCTTTTTTCTTCTCTTCTTCTCTCCATGGTTGCTTGGCCCTCACAGTGGGTTTGAGTCGTTGTGTGAGGGCCTTGTGACGATTGAATTTTGCCACCACAAATCCCTCACGCGACAGCAGTCAAGATTGACGAATATAATAGCAGCTACAAGTTCAAGGGGATATTCACGAATGTCGCTCGTGGTGTCGAAGGATTGTCATAACGATTGTCATTCGTCTTCGTCGGTGATTAATGATGATGGAGATATTGCCTTCATGTAGGAAGTCGTTACCATTTGATCTAAACTATCCACCGCTGGATGATGTTGATTTCAATAGTGATGATTTGTAGTGCACTGTTTTATGTCTCTGCTGGTGGTGTTTGTTAATAGATTTTTTTTTCTTTTTCTCTATTATGTGGGAAAAAAATAGAAAAAAAAAAAAAAAAGATTAAGATGAAATGGTCTTATTTTTATGAGTATGATGATGATGATATGATGTCTTAAAGATTGATGTGGGTTTGTAGATGTTTGGATTTGCTTGATTAATGGAGGCTTTGTGAAGAATTTGAAAGATGAGAGAGACGGTGATAGATGGTTAATTGAGTCTATTGACTTGACATATAATAATAAATAAATTTTTAATTCAATTAGTTAAGGGTAGTTTTGTCTTTATACTAAATATTACGATTTTTAACGAAACCGTTAAAGAATTTAACCTTTTGGGTAGTTCAATGGTCTTTAAAAAGTTTTAAAGTGTGGGAAAAAATCATTACATCGTTAATCGGGTGGGAAAAAGTCATTAACTCTAGTTATGATTTATGAAGTCCACTTTTACTAAATTTAAAACACCCTTATAATCTAAAAATTATCATTGACCTCCGCACTTCTCTTGAGAAGTTACAAAGGTGAGAGTGGGCAACAGAAGATGTGTCTAGGAGAGTTGGGCTTGTCAGAGGAATAGTGGGCAATATGGGCTTTCATTTTTGCAAAACGGTGAAGTTTTTTTTTTAAATTTTATAACCATAAATTTATCTTTATATTAAATTATTAAAATTAACATTCATTTTATATTATTTATAAATATTTTTGACACCCCACCATTATCTCATAAACTATTATTTTTTTATGAGAATGAATAATAAAGATAAGGTTTGATATTTGAGATTGTTTGTAGTTACGTATAAATTTATTATTAATTTTTTCTCCAAAGTATTAGTAGTTATTTTAATCCATATATTTTTTATGTTGTGTAACTCTATTATGTTTTTGAAATTATTTGCCAGGATTTTTTTAGCTTTAATTTTTTCTAAATTTTCAATTTGATTATCTAAAGTTTTGTTTTAGGAATAAAGCTGGTGAGAGGTATATAACATAAGTGAATGGAATAAAATGTTAACTCTTAAAAAAAAATGAATGAAGGACATTTATGGAATTTAAGGTGTGCTATAAGAAAACAAAAATTTTAGAACTTTGGAGTTGTGTTTTCAGGGGTTCTTTAGTTCATTAATGGGATGCCAATAACTTCACTCTTGAAACATTATCAAATTCTAAGAGCTAAAAATGGAAGCCCTAACGTTTTATTGTAATAACAAACTTCCCTCGAGTTTTATAAACCAACGGAAAAAATCGCCTAAAGTCAACCAATGTTTACCGAATTACTGTTCTATCGTTTATTTTAACATCTAAAACTCTCAATTATAAGAGAATTTTTGTAATTTTAAAAACCTTAAGAGAATTTTTGTTATTTAATAAGACCGCACAGGGATTTATGTCATTAACTCTACTTCAATATAATAGGAACCAGAAGCAACAAATATTATAGGAATTTGAGAGTAAAGAAGATGACATTAAAGGTGAAACAGTAAATACAAATTACATTCCACGACACATCAATCAAACAGAACTTCCAGCGAAAAGATCACAAATTAACAGGAAACGCAACCCAAGCACAATAACTACCATATGAGTAATACCATAATAACATGCTGACAAATATAATAGTTCGTAATTGGTTAATTCACGATAAATCATATCTGTCAAACAGTAAATCCTGTTGATCAATGCTAAGTTTTCATGTCGCAGTCTTTCTGGAATTCTTGAATTCGGCACTTCACGAGACTTGATAAAACTTTTTAGCTTAGGCATAGCTCCTTCCGCTACTTGCAACTCCGCCAAATGCCTTTCGAAAAGAACTAGAATTTCAAGCCGAGGAAAACCCTTCTTGCCGCACACCATTTTCTTTCCATCATAAGAATCGCTGCTTAAATAAAGAACCGTGAGGTTCGGCAACTTCTCTAATGTAGGCATGGGGTCATTTTTTAGTTTGCTGTACAGTAACTCTTAAGTATTCAAGATTTGGCAAAAACGCAGGCATTTCTTCCGGTAGTTTCTCTATCCACCCCTGTAATGTCAACTCTACCAGATTTTTGCAAGCAGAGAGTGGTCGCAAAGAAGGAATTGTTCTTCCTGCCATGTGAACCCGTAAAATCTGAAGGCTTTTTAGTTTGGCGACAGAATCAAAAGTGAAGTTGTTTACTTCTTCATGGCCTAACGATATGTGCAGCTCTCGAAGATTAACCAACCCTTCTGGATTAGTTTTAATCCAAGTCTTGCCTGGTATGTACCTTAATGTTTGAAGGTTTACCAAATTGTCTATCCGAAAATTCCCGCTAAAAATTCCAAATAGATGTCTCAATTCTTGCAATTTAGAAATGTCAGGTGGGAGACTGGGCTTCATAGAAGTACCGATTAAGTTCAAAGTTTGTAGGCTCACCAATTTGAGAATGAATGGTGGAACAACTTGAATACCTGTTTCTCTCAATTCCAAATACTTCAAGTGAATCAACTCACCTACTTCTTGCGGTATTGTTTTCATAGAGAGATACGAAAGATCGAGTACTCTTAGTAACCTGAAGGTGGAGATCACTGTTCCTAAGTCTTCACTTGCTTCTGCTCGATAGATATTGAAGAAGAAAAGGGAACGCAGTACTTTAGATTGTTGAAGCTGCAAGTAACTTTCCATTCCCGAATGAACAGCTTGTCGTCGTGTTCCTAAGGAACAAGATGATCTATTATTTACATCGTAAAGCTGAAAGAGCTTCAGCTCTTGAGCCTTTTGAATTGCTAGATCACGTAAAACATCGTGAACACGACATGCAATAATCCTCCCTCTTCGTGTTTTATCGATTTGTATCAGATTTCTTTTAACCAACTCATCCAAGTAAAAATAAGCTACATCTTCCATTATTTCTTCATTTCGGGGTATGAAACCTTCTGCCACCCACAATCGAATTAGTCTCTTCGTTGGAATTTCAGAATCTTTTGGAAAATGACCTAGGTAGAGAAAGCATAGCTTCAATTGATAAGACAAATCATTGAAGCTTAAATGAAATAAGTATTTGACATGATCCAGACCACGATTTAAGGGTTGGCAAATATTATTGTGCATCAAACACCACTCTTGCGCACTCTTTTCGAACAATAAACCACCAAGTAAGAGAATAGCGAGTGGTAGACCACCACATTTTTGCACCATTTCGCTTCCCAATTCCTCCATTTCTTTGGTTTCAGTTGCCTTTCCAGAGGTTTTTGCACAGAATAACTCCCAACTTTCATCTTCACTTAGAAGTTCAAGTTTATGAACATAATCTGCACAAGCTGCAACTTCTGTATCACAAGTGGTCATAATTATTCTACTACCACATTTGTTATCTGGAAAGGCTTCTATGAGACCCTTCCAATCATCTGTTCTCCAAACATCATCAATCACTATCATATATGAACTTCCTTTCAGACATTCTTGAAGATATTTCTTCAAATCTCCCTCGCTCATCTTCTTCAACTTTGACATCAACTTTTGCTTCGACCCCTCTTTAGAGAAATTGAAGGAACTTATAATTCTTCAAAGAACATCTTCAATATTGTAATCTTGAGACACTGAAACCCAAGCATGATTTTGAAATTTATGCTTGAGCTGATCATTGTGATAGAGTTTTCTGGCAAAAGTTGTTCTGCCAAAACCAGTTGCGCCCCAGATAGAGATTGCAAAAAGCCCCGTCTTATTGTCAAGTAATTTACCCAACAATGTCTTAGTATCTTCCTCGTGGCCAACAACATCTTCAAAGGAGATGGTTCTTCTTCGTTTCATAAATTCGTGAAGAGCCTTGCTCCCTCCTTCCCTCTTGTTATAAACGTCTTCGAGAGCAAACTCTTTGCCTCTACTGGAGACATCATTGAGTCTCGCTTTCAGTTCTTTAATTGCCGTGCCTGCGCCATGCAGTTCGAACATTTCTTTGGGTGCTTCAGTGACCATGCAAAAATACTTCTCGATGGAAGTAAAGAGTTGATGCCGCCTTTCTGAAGTCTCTCCTTCGTTGACTAGGGCCATATTTGAAGACTCATCATGAAATTCGATCATGAATTTATCTAAGAAATCTTCGCAATCATAAACGATTCCAATGATCTCAGATAACCGCAGGGTTATTGCTTCATTGTCAACTTGCTTATCTTCTGCGTCCTTTATGACACCAATCGTAGTTGCCAGATCGTCTTTCAGCGACTGCACTTCACTGTTTACTCCTCGTAAGGAGGCTACTTCATTGCTGAGAAATTCCGCAAACCTCTCCACCACTAGTGAGACTACTGCATCCGCCATAGTCCCCAAGCTGCTTTTTCTCTTTTTCGTTCTTAAAATGAAGAGAACACTAAGAGATTTAAGTGTTCTTTTGAGTTGTGTGGTGATTCTGAAGACCATGCTCACTTAAATAGACCAACTTTGTTGGTTTTTTAATGCTAAATTTAATGTTCTTTAATTTTAATTTATTTCCTTTAACTCAATTATGCCAGTTGTGCACATAGGAATTTTCGAAGGACATAACCTTAATTTTAAAAAATAATAATAATACAAGTTTTTCCAATTGTTAATCTTATAACACCATTTAAGTTTACTTGGAGAAACACTTATATGGAACAATCTTACCTGAGTCAGAAATGTATTGTTTTTGGACAAATTATATATATATAGTCAAAGCAATCCATAGAAAGAGGAGATATTAATTAAAAAAGAATGAACAACATTACACCAAGTTAGGGGAAATTAAAGTTCTTGTAAAACAAATGCATATTATTATTCACGAGTGACCTACACGATTCTGCTATCAAGCGTAACTAGAATTCTTGATCTCTCATATTAATTGAATTATTTAGTTTGAGATTTAATATAGAGAGTAAACGACTTTTTCCTATCCAAGGTTTGTCTTGATGACCCTTTTGCATCCAAAATTCAAAATATCACTTTTCTACCTAAAATTAATATTCCATTACTACCTAAAGTCGATTGTGGTGAAGAAAATTCTCTCCGTTACCACTATTTGAACCTTTGGTATCCTCTCTACAAAAATCCTCTCATTTTGGCATATGATTTCTTGCCAATTGTCAATCACCGCAAAGCTATGGTTTTCCATTTTTAACTGATTTTCAACTGATTCCGACAACGAATATTCAATTGATCATCAACATTCGATCCATCGGTCTTCACTCTATAAAATTTCTTTTATCCTAACTCTTGATAACTCGCGAATGTTGGTTGAAAAAGTAAAGTATATTTTGGGTATTAACGAAATATAAACATTAGATAGAAAAGTGATATTTTGAAAGTTTTTGGGTGAAAAAGTGTCATTAAGGCAAACTTTGGGTAGGAAAAAGTCGTTTACTCTTAATATATATTTCCGAAACTTTGAGAGAAATCGAGCTTTCACCAAAATTTATTAAAACAAAATTCAAGGGATCAATTGGACTATCTTAATATGTTATCTTCATCGTTTTATTATCTTAATCCTGTAAGTTTAGGTGAAATCGAACTATCTGGCAACTACCCAGAATTATTCACGAAATTAAAGAGTTTGACTACTACCCAGATTCATGAATATTTGAGTCGTCTTTTCTTAAACAGATGTCAATACTTAAATTCGTCATCCAAGAATTTTATTTTTATTACTTTTGTTACATTGGTCTTGACTTTTAAAAATAATCTAAACAGAACCTTGCGCCCTAAATTAGCTGCTAAATTTCAGGCCTCTATTTATCTATGTTATATTTTTTCAATTTCTTCAACTCTGGCATACAATAATTAAATCTTTATAACAAAAGTTCAGTCTGTATTAAATAAAATAAAATTAGGACACCTGTGGGAGAGATGGATACTTTATCAGTCTAACATATTATTATCGAGAATATGTGTTTTTGTATAGTCAATAAAATTGAGATTTCAATTAACGGGGGAAGTTCCAGGGAACTTTCATGGGTTCTCCATTCTGATTTTTCTATTTACTCATCAATTTGGCATAATTTATGTGATTCTTTCTTGTGATTTCAACTTAAAAAGAAACAAGAATCATTACTCATTAGCTTACTTAGTACAGGAAAATCAACCCTGGAAAAACGATTCTTACATGGCAGAAACCTCATTTCTGTTTTGATCCTGGTTATTGTTATGTCTGTTTTGAATTGTTTTTGTTGGTTGTTATTTCAGGAGCTTATAAGGAAACAAGAATCCAGTAATAAATAAGTTTTATTTTATATTTTTTTATAAGGACACGATCAAAGTGTCCAAACCAGTTTACATATACCTTAACTAATTTCTTAGAGTTCTGAAATAAACAATCGAGTAAATCCTCTTAATAAAGACTCATATTAGTGCTTAAAGAGACTCCAACTCAGAAACTCATGTTGGACTCCTTTACTCTTTTACCATCAAGTCGATTAATTCTGCACATATTACAATCTTAGGGTGTGGAAATAATGGATTTGACACTTTCAAATTTTAGGATTTGAAAAAATATCATATTTTATGCAGGGGTGGAACCACTGCGGCTAGGATCAAAATTTGACTAGAAAAGATTTATAGATATAAATATATATTTTTTTTAAATATCAAAGTATTTTATCTTGTTATATTAAAAAAAATAAAATAAAATAAAAAAGCCCTCATAAGTCTAATTCTCTTATTTTATTAAACACTTCTAGTTAGAATTCATCATAAACCATCTTTTATTTCGTTTCCACACCCACCTCCCTTATCTTTTAAATTCTTAGAATAAAAACAATTTTACTTCTCTTCTCAACAAGATTATAATAGATTAACTTTATCATATGTGCTTTGTTTTCAAAATAGAATATTCATTTTTAATGACAAAGCTCATTTATCAAATATGCAATTTTTATTACTCTAATTTCACACCAGTAAGATTTATAATTTTTTTTTTTTTATTTATACTTTTATTTTGTCAACCCTCCGAAAATTAATTCCTGTTTTTGCCCTTGATTTTATGCATTTTATTTTTTGTTAGTTCACACCAAAATGTATGAAAATCCCCATGCACGTTCCCCAAAGAGAATTTGCGAATTCATAACAAAGAAAGGTCAGGAAATCACCACACATGACTGGCTTTCCCTGGCCCGGGTTTAGTAACCAAATACTTGGGATATCAACTTTATATACGAAAATATAAAAAGAAATATTTATTTATTTATTTATTAAAATCACTTTTAAATAGTTTTACAACAAAAAGGAAAGATCCAACCCATTCCAGATCCAAGGCCCGATTAAATCCATTCCTTATTAGAATCCCATTCCAGATGCACGGCCCGATAAAAGCCCATTCTAAATCAAATTCCCATTGCATATTCAGGGCCCGATAAAAGCCCATTCCAAATCAAAATCTATGTTGTTTATCTAAGTTAATTAATGAAACAAACTCTAGACCTATAATCACCAAAATTTTTAGAACAAACAAACAACCATAAATCTTGGGTTTTATAAGCATAAAGAGTAATGCTAAGTCTATGACTCAATCTCACAACATTCTCTCACAATCTCTAACGTGACAGTTCGTCGTTAGTTAATTTACAAATGGGCAAACGGAACGTATACAAGTAGACAGACTATCACATATGAAGTTGTGAAACTGAGTTATAGACCTAACATTGTTCTAAGTGTAAATAATTTGTAGCATTACTTTAGGCGTAAATAGTTTGAAGCCAACCACAAACTCAATGATGTTTGGAGACTGTCTTTAAACAATCGAAAGTTGAGAGATTAGTATTGGCTACATGAATCATATATAAGCCCTCTCTGCTTTCGGTAATAGCTCACAACTCCATGTTATTTGTTTATGTTAAATGAATCTATTATATGACAATCTAAACTAGAGAATACCTTATTTGCCTTCGATTTCCAATAAAATTAATTAACTAATTAATTTAAAAAAAAAAAAAATCCTTGACCCAAAGGTTATTATTGGCAATTGACACGATGGTCTATATAGATTCCTTAGAGTTAAAAGGATAAATACAATTATTTCTATACTAATAGATTTGTCTCAACCATTTTTTAACGAAAAAAGAGTTAAGGTTGCTTTTCTGAAATTAACAGAGTGCCATTGTTATTTCATTAAATATACGGGGTTTACTGAAATATGCTTTAAAAATATAGGTCCAAGATTTCCATTACATAAATTTAACAGAAAATTCAAAGGAGTGGATCAATGGTACTACCATTAATTTATTTCTGACAAATTGAGAGAAATAGATGGAAAAACTGATATTAGTGTTAACCTAGCATCCTTTCTTTTTTTTTTTTGAAGTGAAAGCTTCCAGAAACCTTACCGAGCAAATTTTTGTCCAACAGCTCTGGTGAGTATAAGAAATATGAGTCACGTTTGAAAAAAAATTATATAATATTAACATATTGAGAAAAAGAAGGAAAAGAACAAAAAGGTAAAATTATACTAGTCTCAGAGGAGATTTGGATCGTATAATGTTTTATTATAGGAGGTATTATTTTAATGGAATAAAATATCAACTTGAAGATTATTGGAAATGTTTCGAAAATGTGTTTGGTTGATTCGAATAAATTGGTAAATAATATATTTAGTTGAGAGGATAAATGGGTGGATATATTTTATAGATTATTAAATTGTCTTCCTTTTTAAATATTAATAAAACAGTATTTTTTATTACTATTTTTGAATAATTTTTTTAACCCCATACTTTTTAGATTTAGCAAAAACACCCTAGCAATAAAAAACGTTTTAATCTTAACAAAAACACCCTTACCTACCTCAAGCCACTACTGACAGCTAACCACCACAGCTGACAGTGCCACAGATCTGGTCATGACGTCGATAGTGCCATAGATCTAACCGTGAAATGGCTAGCTCTTTGGCTATGAAACGATCGGGTAGATTATTCGTCGTTCCTCGACCACATCTCTAACCGTGAAACAACTAGATCTGGCCTTTTTCGACCTTGGATCTATGATCCATGGTTGGAAAAAGCCTCACCAACGCAGGGTTGGCCATATACGACTGATCGTACACCATTATGGCGATTTTTGGCAGCCTCTGATAGCAGTCGACAGTGATTGGCAGTGGTGACTAGTTATGGGTATAATGACATTTCTATAAATAATGACAATAACAAGGACAATGTCGTCCAAAAAAATTTAAAAAGCGAGGACAAAAGTGTCTGCATGAGTGAATTGGGTGTTTTGTAAATGTTAACAAATATAAGGTTAATTTGGACCAAATGGTCAACTGTTTAGGGGCAACATGAGAAACAAAATTGTATTAACCAACCCCCCCCCCCCCCCCCCCC